CGACTAGTCGGCTCCGTACCGTACCAACTTTCATAAGGGTATGGGTTTTGTCATTTGTGTACATAAGAACAAGACAACAACAATCGTGCTAAGCAAGCTTCCTTTGATTGCTGAATGCTGGAATAACCTGAAGGTCTCATCATCATTCGCTGAAGCTTGAGCAGTCTTCACACATATGTAGATAGACTTGTAATCACTGAATACCGCTTTAGATCACGTACTCGTCAGTCTCTAATCTTCAGTTTCAGTCTTCGATGTTTGCTGAAGGTTCTTTGGTGTGAGTGTTGTCTTCTTGAAGTATTGTTGTCTCTGATAGAATTACAAAGCAAGTTCTTCAGCGATTACTGAACATACTTAGTGAAGATCGCTGGAACTGAAAAGACAGAAACATAAATACAACGTATAAGTGAAAAGGGATTATCATCAAATCACTGAGAGAGAAAATCAACAAGTAATAATCCCATAAGATGTAAATTATAAAAGCATTCATTCAAACACAGATACTATCATACAACATCACATGTTCATATTCGGCATTCTATTAGTCTTTCAAATGCATATAGCAGTATTAAAGCATGCTCAACCAGATTTGAACAACAACACTGCTTTTGATTCCAAATAGAAATACACAAAGTGGATTGTCTCATGTGTCACATAAGACCTTGCAAAAACATAAATCATATTTTTATTCATAATCAATTAGAATATTTTAAATCAAAAGGGTAGTATCCTAAGTTAAGTCTTCATCGATCTTCAATCTTCTCATCCAAAAATCAAATTAGAGAATAACAAAAAGATGCTGACATGATTCTATAAAACCATTTTCCAAATTTAAAAGCAAACATGTCCAATTGATCCATCACCTAATATAATCCAAGCCAACATTGCCCAAAACATTCAACTACTTTAAGATATGCTGCAAGAGTTTCTGCCCAATAGATATTTAGCATATCAATGACTATTTTCTTCAAGTATTCAATATTTATATATGACAAATGAACTCACACACTCTCCCCATCTTTAATGAGGTTTGAACCCCTGACCTCCTCAGATGTTGGGCTATACTGATAACCTAGATACCGCTAGATCAAAGTCCCTTTTGTATGAATGACTATTTGATAGAGGTCATACAGACATCTCTAGACTATGTCTACCATGTAATTTTATCATGCAAGTCCCTGTATCAGGTGCTTCAAGAATAACTTCTCAATGGTATTAATCATGTCCCTAAATTGTTGATCACGAATTCAAGGGGATGCATTATTGGGAACCAGGAGGCATTCTTCATCATTTTAGAACCATAAATTAGAAACTAAGGCCAAGAGTCTAAGGTATAAGGTTTTATGCCTATGAGATTGAAAGGGGACAACCCAATGCATAGTTTGGAATAATCTACGTACTTGCAGAACTTATCGTATCTTCCTTTTTATGTGATTCATCTTCACTTAATGAAGTTCACGGTGACACCGATTATTCAATGTCATTGGCTATTAAAAACACCAACAATCAATTGAGAATGAGAACATCAAAACTTAATAGTAATGATTCAAGCATTAAGAGAAGGCTTACAAATCTGCTTCAAAGAGAAATATTAAGGAACTTAAACATCCCGTATGTGTGCATCAAAAAAACAATTCGGACCGTAACATATTAACTGAACCAAAATCAATTAAAAATAAAACCTAATACGCTGTGACAATAGTAATTCAATAAAAAATAAACTCATAATCGATTCTAAACAAAACTGAAGAGCAAAATTGAAAAAAAAAAATTACCTCTAAAAATGGAAATCTTAATCAAAATTGAAATCGAAATCAATAGGGTTTTGAAGAGGATACCTCCAAATTAAAATTGAAATGGAAATCTCTAGGGTTTTGAAGAACCTGTGAAATTTAAACATCAAGGAGGATGGAGTTATATGTATCGATGAGGTTGTGATACATCAAATCGGTTTCATACATGAAATTGTTTTTGAAGACTATGAGAGAAGAAAGCAAATCGAACATTTGTTCGGGGTGATACATCAAACCCACAAGGTTAACTTGTTCAAGGTGAGTCAAGGAAGAAAGCATCTCTATTATACCCAAATTTGTTTGAGCGTATATGAGATACTGAAATAAGAATGTGCAGAAGACTATAAGAGAGAAAGCACGTTTGAAAGCTTCCGAATAGGTTTTGGAGTTGTGGGTTTAGAACCCTTGCATAAAAAACTTATACCTTATGCATAATATTTGGTAATTAAGAATTTTTTGAATTTATTACATAAAACCATTGTAACTTATGCTTAATAACCTGTATTTAGGACTTTGTCTTAAATGCTTATATAAATGCTTATATATGTAGTATAGATATATATATCTATATCTATCTATATATATATATATATTCGTTATTATTACAAATATGAGTTTATAAATATGATTTGGTGATTTTCACCCTGTAATTGCATAAAAGACATTACTCACTAGACCTCAAGGTCTAACCCTAATTTTGTGTTTAAAAAATGTGCATTACAGGTCAGGCACAATCAAAAGTTAAAGGGAAAGAAAAATTGTAAACTAATAATATTATGCTTGCATAAGATTTTGGGATAGCACAAATCTTCTTTTGTATGTGAATACTTGTTATTATTTCATGAGTAATATAGAGATGTTGCGGAAAAAAAAAGTTAGCTATTTTATAGTATAACTTTTATAAGAGTACGTTTGAGACTAAATGTGTAAATTATATTTTTTTTATATATAAAAATATATATATATATTTATATATAAATATGATATTGGGATATTATGTAGGTAAACTGATATAGGCTGTAAGAGAACTCAACCAGTAAGAAGTTAAGGGGTTGTTTGTTTGGCTCTTAATGGTGACATTAAGAGCCAACCTCTTAATCGGTAAGAGGTAAGGTCTGTTTGGCAAAAAAAAAAAAACAACCCTCTTAATGGTTACAATAACCTCTTAACCATTTTGCATCCATAACTTCACTAAACCATTCAGATTGCATTTGTTCCCTTTTTACCCCTCCACACCACTCTTCCAGCCGTCTCATTCTCTCTTAACGTCGCCTTCACGAGTCTCGTCCCCTTCCCCAGGTCGGCCGGTTGTCACCTCCCGAGTCTCCATCGCCGGTGACCACCACCGTCTCCATTGCGGGTCGCCTTCCACAGCTTTGCCGCTCGCCTCCATCAGGTATCTTCTGTCTCCAAATCTTTCATCTATCTTCTGTTTTGGATGAAGAAATCGCCGGTTGTCACCTCCCGAGTCTCCATCGCCGGTGACCACCACCGTCTCCATCG